TTGTGGCAAATGGTAGGGAAGCTCAGTATTTCTGTATACAGTTGTAGGGGCTTTATTGCAACGTGCTATGGCCTGATATTATGCTCTTATTCCACTGTGTGTGTTTGGGGGGGGGGGCAATGGAAGCTGAGTGATAGGGTCTCTCCAAGTGATTGCCAGAAGTGAGATGCGTCCTGGTCTTCTGTCTTACAGATAATCTTACAAATAGTCCTTTGCATTTATATCATGCTTTCAACTTTAAAAGGATCATAATGCTGATTGTGTGAACTTAGGCAAATCACCAGAGGTAGAGCAGGAAGGGTTGCATCAGTTAGTTCTTGTGGCCCTTTCTTACACGCCCAGGGAAATGCTGATCGCCACTTTGGGGCCAGGAAGCAATTTTTCTCCAGGCCAGTTTGACCCCCAATGATCCTGGAGGTTTTTTTATCACATTCTGGGCGTGGAACAGGGGACACTGGGGTGTGTGGGAGGTATTGGTGAATTTCCTGCATTGTGCAGGGTGTTGAACTAGATGACCCTGGAGGTCCCTTCCCACTCTATGAGTCTATGGTTCTATAATTCAACCAGGCTGGCTGTGGGCACACCAGCACCTCTGTCAGGCAGAAGCGCCTGAGATCCTCCCCCTCCCCTTTTCCTTCGCCCGACTTGGAGGCGAAGGGAAGGGAGAGGGGGGAAAGAATGGATCCCATGTGCTTCTGCCTGTCAGAGGGTCTGGTGCACTCTTCCGGTGATGTCAGGGGGTGTGGCATATGCTAATAAGTTATGCTAATGAGCTCCTGCAGCTCTTTTTCTACGAAATGACCCCTGTATAGGACTAGTCATTAATGTTCCATTTTGAGATTCTGGAATGTTCTTTGCATTGTTTTCTGAGATGTTTAATTAAATTGTATTAGAATCTCTTAAACACTGGGTGAGAGCCTTAACTTAGAGTACAGTACGGAATCCGGGGATTGGGACAAAAAAGGGGTTACACTGGTTCAGGAGCAAGGGACAATCTCTCATCACAGCCACCACGTTTGTGCTTCTCTGGGGAGGCCCAGTGTTGTTAACACCCAGAAACATTTCTGCTTGGAAGCCTGGGATTCTGCCCCACACCAATACCAGAACTTTCCAGACATCAATATAGAGAGATTTTTATTTCAACACTTCAACACCTGACAAACACACGACATACACAATTCCATTATAGCAATAAGGGGAGGCAATTCCAGACATTAAAATTATTATTTACAGGAAGGGTGGAGTTGGAACAAAAGTGTGACAATAGAGCCATTCAACATGACACTTTGTTCTTCGTCCCTCTAGAACTGCCCATCTTTACCAGTGACTCTTGTTAGGCAGTGAAACCCACAGGGAATGCTAAAGCCTTCTCTACCCTCCGAGGATGTTGGTGAAGCTAAGACATAAGCCAAAACAGCGGGGAAGTTAAGGTGCTTAAAAAAAGGTCTCTTATTGTGGCTTTCGTCCTCTCCTTTTCCAGAAAAGGCCTTCCACACCTTTATTGTTTGAGAAGGTGTATATGAAATAGTCGGGATTTTCAAGTTGATCTTCAACAAAGGAGTGGGAGGAACCAAACGTATTTGCCAGAACTTATTTTAAAAACCCACCTGAATGGGCAAGAAGAGGTTACCAATGTGATGATGTGGGATGAGGAAGAATGTGCTAGAAAGGCTTGGCTGAATGGTGAAAGCAGAAAGCTGGTTACTGCCTGTCAGCCACTTAAATGCGTGCCCCTGGCCAGACCTGATTGGCAAGTTGCGTTTTTAGCAAGCAGGCACACCCAGAACATTAAATGCTTTGAAGCAATTGCACGTCTTTGGTTGGCCTTGTTCCCTGAAGGCCTATTTCATGTCCTGAGTGAAGGGGCATCCAAGATTCATGGCCTCCTAGGGGGACAAGCCTTGGACATGCCTCACGTTGGCCTCTTCACAGAGCCCACAACTTCCTCAATGGACAGGCTATCATCTAGGAGTAGAGTCAAGCTACAGGTCACAATAGGGTTGCCAAGTGTATCTTTACCGGGAGCGGGGGGCTCCCGGCTGGCATCTTGTGCGCGCCGCACGCACGTCACCTGGAAGTGACGGGAGGACGCCAGGCACGCTGGGGGTGGGGCCACGGCCATACAAGGGAAAACCATAGAGTCTTCCCTCGGATGACCGTGGCCCCGCCCCCAGCGTGCCCGGCGTGCCCACGTCACTTCCGGGTGATGCGCACATCGGGGTGGAGTTCCCCCCGGGGCCCGATCCAGCAGCGCCGGGGAACGGGCCTCTGGGGCGGGGGTTTCCCCGCCCCCTGGGGGGACTTGGGATCCCTAGGTCACAACTGTGTTATTTCTTTAAAAATACAGGCCTAATTTGTCCTGGTTTCCCTCAAGGAAACTTTGGGAACTGTAGCTCCTATGAAGAGGCTAACTGACATTAAGCGGCCCTCACAAAACTACAATTCCCAAGGTTCCTCAGTAGAGTTGCCAGGCCCCCTCGTTGAGGGGCGTTCTGGGGGTGGGCAAGGATGTTGTGTGATGTGCTGATGTCACCCGGAAGTGTCGTCAGCAATGTCGGGGGGGGGATGCTCTGCTTTTTGGGCAAACTCTATTATAAAAATGGCCTCAAACCATAGAGTTTTGCCCCAAAAGCAAAACATCGCCTCCCAACATTACCAACACGCTGACGTTGTGATGTCAGCATGTCACGCATGGCATTGGGGTGGGGGGAATTTCCTCCCACCAGCCAGGAGCCCACAAAAGTGGGGAATCTCCCACCCCCATCTGGGGAATGGGAACAATATTCCTCAGGCAAAGTCAGGAGGGAATGTGACTGGTTTGAGTTGAAAGTCATAGACCTACATAGAAGGCAAACGAGCACCAGTTACCCCAATTTTTCTGTATTTTGGGTGTGTGGAAGAAACACCAAACTTTTTAAATCTCCGTCTGGTTTTTGGAAAGGGGGAAGGGAACTACAGCCACTTGTTTTTTGGGGGTTTTGCTTGTGCACAACATAGCCAGAGGAGGCCCTACATAAAGGAGGTAGTGTATAGCAGTCAGGGATGCAGCATGATGAAGATGTCTGACCATTGCGGGGTGTGGGCTATCTGCTCCAGAAACCATTCATGTACTCCTTACAGATTCCAGATTGCAGCAGGAAATACAAGGTGCCATATTGATGGTCACATAGCAACCACCCTCTTCTTCCAGTGCGTCAGTCTTCTTGGAACAGGACTTAGGCCAGGAGGGCTGGCTCTGGGGCCACATGAGGCCACAGCAGTAGCCTCATCAGCAAAGAAGGATATGGATGGGGCAATTCTCTGCTGGGCCAATTGACATCCTTCCTTGGGTAGGCTTGAGCTTAAGGGCCTCTAGTTGCCAATCTCTGGATATTTACTGGGGTTGTAGCTTCAAATAACTTATCTTGGAAGGCAAACCACTATGTCCTACACCTAAAGCTATGTGGTTAAAACATGGGGGGAAGGACATGATCCGGCACGCGCTTCTTGTTGGACATACACGAAGCAGAGCAACGCATTGGAGATTGGATACTAGGAGGAGGAGAAGGATGAGGAAGGCCTTCCTAGTTGCTCAGCACTGTCCCAACTCGCTCTTCCCCTCGCTGTCCTGGCAGATTATATATTCTGGCAGCAAGGCGCTTGTTTCCCTTCCTGATGAGTAGGCAGGACTTTGATGGGCTCGATGGTGCTGCTGGGGCTGAACTCTGTCTCCGACTGCCCGCTGGCAATTTGCCTTTGGGATACAATCCGGTAGATTTCTGAAAGACCACAAAATACAAGAAATGACGAGGAGGCCGAACTAATGGGTGAAGTCAACACGGGAGTCATGTACGCACAGTGCAACTGCATACAGGCAATGGGAAAAGAAGGACCATCTATATATCTAATACCGAAGTGGCCCCCTCAGTGCGGATATCTAAATCAGCACAGAGGGGGCACTTGGGGGGGAGGGAGAGTTTTGTGCACACGTGGGGCGGTCCCCAGGTGTGCACAAAAATCTAAAAAGTTTTTTTAAAAATCGGGGGGATACTTAAATCCCCCCAAAAGTGACAGAGCGTCCCCTGTGCATGCGCAGGGAACGCTCTGTAGCCGGCCTCGCCGCCGCGGCGGAGCCGGGCGGGGGGGGGAGGATCGGCCTTGCCGCCGCCGCCTCGGAGCTGGGCGGGGGGAAGACTGGCCTCGCCGCCGCCGCTGCCTCAAAGCAGGGCGGGGGGGAGGACCAGCCTCGCCGCCGCCTCGGAGCCGGGCGGGGGGGAGGACCGGCCTCGCCACCGCCGCCTCGGGGAGATCGAGCGGGGGGGATGGAGGAGACAGAGCTCTTCTCCCCGCCCGCGAGTATCGCGGGTCCCCTTAACCCCCCGCGAGTACCGCGGCTCTCCTTACTTGTGCTTACTAACACTGTCCCCGCACATTCAGCCTAAATCTGGTGTATACAGCCTACCAGAGCTGGATTTATGTACAAGATAAATGCAGTACAGTTTAGGGCCTCTGACTATAAGGAGTCTCTAAGCACAAAATATTACCAAATGTCAACGTTTGAATGCTATACTTTCGGGGAGGGGGGAATTCTATGGGATCTTTTAAACTTGACAGTTATGGCCTCAGCATGTCTTAAACCAGTCCTGCAGCCTGGCTGTGCATATTAAAAAAAAATAGCATGGCATACAGTGGGGAAAACTGTTTTTCAGATTTCAATAAAGGAACCTACATGTGTTCAGTTTTATAGCCACGCAGGCTCTGTCTTTGATCATTTACATGGGGATGCTAGAAGGCACGGTCCTACTCTCTTCCTGTTCTCATTATGTCATATGGGGAAAGCCTGATGGGGGGTGGGTCAGGTCACTTTGGAGACAGGTAATTCAGTCTGTCAGAGTGTTTCCATGGGTGGAAAAAAAAATTCACTTTTTGGACAAAAAGGAAATACTTCTTGGACAAAGTGAGTTACTTCTTTACAGACAGGGTGATTAAAATGTGGAATTCGGGGCAGAGGATGCAGTGATGGCAACAGGTGGAGGCAGCTTTAAAAGGGGATTAGACAGATTCATGGAGGAGAGGTCTGCCAGTAACTACTAGCCATGGTGGCTGAGGGGACCCTCCGTGTTCAGAGGCACTAAGCCTCCGAACCCCAGAGCCAGGAGGCAACATCAGGGGAAGTCCTCAAACTCTATGCCCTGTTGTTGGCCATCCAGAATAAAAGGTTAGGCACTGTGTGAGACAGGATGCTAGAGAAGATGGACCACTGGTCTGATCCAGCAGAGCTCTTCTTACGTTCTTAATGGGACTTTCTTGCCTCCCCCCTTGGGTTGCCAGCTCCGGGTAGGAAACACCAGGAGATTTTGAGGGTGGAGCCAGATGAGGGCAGGAGTTGTGCTGGGGAAGGACTTCAATGGGTCATAATGCCATAGAACCCAGCTTCCAAAACAGCCATTTTCTCCAGGTGAACTGATCACCTAGAGATCAGATGTAATCCCAGGAGATCTCCAGCTTCCACCTGGAGGTTGGCAAGCCTACTCTCCCTCCTGCTGCAGCCCAAAATGTCATCCTAAAATCTAAGAACAACACTTGGGGGGTATTTTGGGCTACAGCAGGGCAGGGGAAGTGAGAAAGTTACACTCCATAGTTAGAAATTGTTCCACATGCAGAAGTATTTTGGTGGATCCAAGCCCAGATGTGGTTGAAATTAAGACAGCTACATGCAGCAAATGCCAGTAGGCCAAACCACACTGGCACTCACCCTGCTTCTCTGGAAGTCCTTTGTAGGGTTGCCAGATCCCTCCTGGCAGATGGTGTGTGTGGGGGAACAACAGGAGCAGCAGGGAGGCCCAGCCTTTGTACAGTGATGTGTCTATGTCACTGCCCACATGACCAAGAAGTGATGTCATCACTTCTGGGATGTCAGGGTGACACTCTGATGTTTGGGCAAAACTCTATGGTAAATTTGGCTTCTACCATAAGAGTTTTTGCCCAAATACCGGAGTGTCACCCCTGATGTCTCGTGATGACATCACTTCCAGGTCATGGGGGCAATGACGCTGGATCTCTCTCTTTTTCTGAGTGTATTCTGATTGGCAAAGCAGGGAGGTGGGAACCTCCACCTTTACCAGGGGATATAGCAACCCTAATCCTTTGCTGCGGCTGATTTTATTTGATTGTACAACTGGATTCATTCGGGATGACGGCCTCATGCAGTAGCTCTTTGATTCGTTCTTGCAGGACTTGTGAGGTCTAATTATAGAAAGCCTTGGGGAAGGATATGGGGGAGGGCTTGTAAATCAGCACTGCCACTAGGGTCGCCAAGTCGATTTTCGCCGGGAGCGGGGGGCTCCCGGCTGGCGTCTGGTGTGCGCACGCTCACCGCATGCACGCCACCCGGAAGTGACGTGACAACGCCAGGCACACTGGGGGCGGGGCCATGGCCATACGAGGGAAAACCATATTCCCTCGGATGGCCGTGGCCCCGCCCCCAGCGTGCCCGCATCACTTCTGGGTGAAGCGCACTTCGGGGAGGAGTTCCCCCTGGGGCCCGATCCAGCGGTGGCGGGGAACGGGCCTCTAGGGCGGGGAAACCGTAGGGACTTGGGAAGCCTAACTGCCACCGACAGTTACCAACTTTCAGGTAGCAGCTGGAGCTCTCCCAGAATTACAGCCAGTCTCCAGACAACAGAGATCAGTTTCCCTGGAGAAAATGGCTGCTTTGGAAGGTGGACTCTATGGCATTCTACCCTACCGAGCTCCTTCCCCTCTCTAAACTCCGCCGTCCCCTGGCTCCGCCTTCCAAATTACCAAGAATTTCTCAACCTAGAGCAGCCAATCTTACTGCTCCCCACCTCAGCCAGCACTGCAAGGAGGTGAGAGGCTGCCACCCTTCTCTTCACTCAGTACCACACCACAGGAAGGAGGGAGAGGGAAGGAGAATGAAGACCACATCTAGTTAAGTTTACTATCAGTCTGGAATTGTGCAGCACCTGCTTACAAAAACCATTTAAAGGTAAATGGTTTTTGCAAGCAGGTGCCGCCAACGCCTTCCAAGGAGCTGCGTCCCCAATGTGATGACATCACTTGGGTGTGATGTCATCGTGTCGGGGACATCCACACCCCCTCCTGGAACGCCCCCCCCCCAAAAAAAAAATCTCCCTGCCAGCAACAAGATAGGATCCAGCAAGCCTAGGCTGAATTAGGCCAGAAGGTTGCCGGCTGCTGACTCTTCTTCAGGTTCCCATAGAAGTTAAGCTCCAGTATGTGTCACTAAACTTAAAGGTAGATTCAGGAGGGTAACCATGTTGGTCTGAAGCAATAGAACAGAGTTTGAGTCTAGTGGCACCTCTAAGACCAACAAAGTTTAATTAAAGGTGCCACTGGACTCAAACTTTGTAAACTTGAAGGTATATGTCTCCTCCGCCCCATCTTCTCTTCTCTCTGTCGCCTCTCATCTTGAATTTTAGATTGTGAATTCTCAGAGCCACAGCCTAGCTTTGATTATGCGGCTGCCCATAACTGGGGCTGCTGACAGAGGGGGACTGGAGGGACAAAATTCAGGCAGCCTCAAGTCAGCTGCAACGCCCCATCATGGAATGCATTAAAAAAAAATCGAATGCAGTTCTGCCTGCAGCCACTAGGGGCACAAGGAAGGCAGAGCACAGCAAAGCGCTCGGCTTTACTGCAAAGTTTACCAAGATGCCGAGGGAAAACCTGTTTGCTGATCAGATCGTGCTAAAAAAAAAACATCAGCCAAGCCTGCCCTGGAGTAAAGGAAGACCAGCTAGGACAGGATGCAGCCTCCTAAAAACGTCTATGGTCTCCTTTTCCCTTTAGTTCTACCCAGTTCCTGCACAGCCAGGCTTCACTAGTTTTATTTTCTGATGGGACATGTGGATCCTTTTATTATTACAGACGCATGTTAACAGCCAGCCAAGTACTTTTGTTTTGTTATGATATTTGGTTTGGATCAGGGTCATATGGGGGAGGGGAGCACGCCCAGATGGACTCTTTGCCTGGGGGCCCATGGTGGCTCTCGGTAGCCCTGCCCATAACTAGCATTACATAACATCTGTTTAAGAACCCCAGTAGCTAGTAGGCGGCCCATCACAGGTAGCCCATGCCCTAGAGCATAGCTAGAGCTTACCGCATAATGCAGAAGAAGGTGCATGCATGTGGGGCAACTTACCTGTGAGGATGTTGTGAAAGGCGGTCTCCACGTTGGTGGAATCCAGAGCCGAAGTTTCTATGAAGGACAAGCCGTTCTTTTCTGTGGGAAGCGCAGAGGGAAACCCTGTCAGATCTTATCCACACATCTCTACTTTGGCACGACTTAATTTCCTGAGACTTCATGCTAGATTTCAAGAAGCAATTGCTTCAAAGTTCTACTAAAGCTACACTGTCGTCTGGAAACTCTACTCCCCTATATCAGCTGACCTACAAGGAGCTACTAGGGTTCGCTCAGTGGTAAGCAAAAAGGTTCTCTGTACATGCTCAGAGACAAGCACACGGTGCTGCCTTCTACTGAGTCAGACCATTGGTCAGGGAGATCCAGTGTGGTGTCGTGGTTAAGAGCGGCGGACTCTAATCTGGAGAGCCAGGTTCGATTCCCCACTCTTCCTCCACATGAAGCCAGCTGGATGACCTTGGGTCAGCCACAGTTCTCTCAGCCCAAAAAATAAACCTAGCTCACCAACCCCCAAAAAATAGATGCTAGAGTTTCAGGCTGCCAGACAATTTTTGGCAGGCCCATAGCTATGGTGGGGCTTTTGGGGGCTCCACCCCCTTTCTTAAAGGCACAGCCCCACAAGAATTTATCCTAGAAGTGCTTTTTTCAGTCATCTTTAAACGTTTTTTTTTTTAAAGGTGTGTGCTCTTTTAATCAGAGTGGGGTGCTGTAGTTGACTAATTCCCGCACTGAGCAAGGGGGTTGGAGTAAGTGACCTCTAGGATCCCTTCTAACTCTGTGTCAGTAAACTGGTCTCCTTTAAGCGAGTTTTTCTGTCTAAGTGTTCGCTTTCTTGACTATAGAAGTCATCACCCCCACCTGCCGGCTTGTTCTCAGAATTGTTGCTCAGGCTGGCAGGAGTGATTAACTTGCAGCAGCTGAGAACTGTCGTCTCAAGTGGCTGACAGTTTGCAATTCAGAGACCTCTCCTGGTAACAACTTTCTATTGGCTAAATGGCTTTTCTTTTTGAACTGAGAACTTCAGCCCCACCAGAAAAAAGAAATTGCCCCACAAGCCACAAAATCCTGGCTACGGGCCTGATCTTCGGATCTCCTGGCTACACTACACCCACTGCCATCTGATAATTAATTAATTAGACCATTGGTCTATCAAGATTGGTATGGTCTACTTTGGCAGTAGCTTACATCCCCTTTGAACTGATCCTTTTAACTAGAGATGCCAGGGATTGTACGTGGGACCTTCTGCACGCAAAGCAGATGCTGTACCACTGAGCCACTACAGAATCCTTGACTATCGGAATAGTACAGAATATCTGACCAAGGAAGCTTTGATTCTCGAAAGCTGAAAATCTTGTTGGTCTCTAAGGTGCTACAGGACTCATATCTAGCTGTACAGAATATCAGCTTTGGTAAACAGGCTCTGAGGATATTTATTTCCTCTATACCTTGCCTGCCATGGCGGGGTGGGATACAAATTAAATAAATTAAATAAATAATAATTACTTCTATCGCGGCAACATGTGTGGGGCATGAAGGAAGGCTCCTTCCCATCTAGGCATTGCCCAGGCCCAGACATGTCTAGTTCCAGCCTGTGTTCATCCCCATCATATCCAGGGGGGCTCTTATTCCCAGAAATCCATATGTGCAAAAGAAGAGTGATTGGAATTAACAAGAAAAGATAGATAGATATTTCAAGAGGTTGAGACGTTTGGTCCAACTGCATCGTCTTAACATTCTAGCCATATCTACATCTAACCCTCAGTTTCTAATCCTCATTCTGCAAAATTAGTCTGCAAACTGTGCAGGCAATTTAGTGGGGGTGAGAATGCAGGCTGAAAATGCCCTAGACTGCCCTTCCCTCACCAGCAGTGGCAGAAGGAGGAGGAGGAGGAGGAGGAGGAGGAGGAGATTGGATTTATACCCTGCCCTTCACTCTGAGTTTCAGAGCGGTTTACAGCTTACAAACTCCTTTCCCTCCCCCTCCCCACAACAGACACCCTGTGAGGTGGGTGGGGCTGAGAGAACTCTTTCAAGAACTGCTCTTTGAAGAACAGCTCTGACAGAACTATGGCTTGCCCAAGGTCATCCAGCAGCTGCAAGTGGAGGAGTGGGGAATCAAACCCGGTTCTCCCAGATTACAGTCCACACACTTAACCGCTACACCAAACTACACCAAACAAATTTAACACAAGCATGATTGATTGGCATGAACTTGTAACAGGCTTGTGATGGAGAGGAAGTACATACAGCCTTGAACTAGTACTTAAACTAGTTCCAGCCTGTATTCATCCCCATCATATCCGGGGGCCTCTGAGAAATCTGTATCTGCCTCTATGAAGTTAATCCTGAAATTTCTCCCTCACCAGAGCAAGAGAGAAAGAACGAGAGCATTGTGGTATGGAGCAGCTAAAATGCTGGAATCTGATTGGGGATAGCTGAGATCAAATCCCCAGCTCAGCCATGAAGTTCATTAGGCTGGGCATCATCTCTCAGCCTAGCCTACCTTGTAGGGTCGTTGGGAGGACATAATGAGTCACGGAACCCTTTCTATACACTGCTGTGAGCTCCCTAGAGTATAAACATTAGGAAGAACTTCCTGACAGAGCGGTTCTTCCGCAGTGGAACAGTCCTCCTCAGGAGGTGGTGGGCTCTCCTTCTTTGGAGGTTTCCAAGCAGAGGCTAGATGGCCATCTGACAGCAATGCAGATTCTGTGAACTTAGGCAGATCGTGAGAAGGGAGAGCAGGTAAAGTTGCATCAGTGCTTAGTTCTCATGGCCCTTTCTTATGTGACCGTTGCTATTTTGGGCTCAGGAAGCAATTTTTCTCCAGGCCAGTTTGGCCGGGGATCCTGGAGGTTCTTTTGTCATCTTCTGGGCATGGAGCAGGGGGGTCACTGGGGGTGTCTGGGAGGGGGGGAGGTAGGTGTGAATTTCCTGCATTGTGCAGGGGGTTGGACCAGCTGACCCCGGAGGTCCCTTCCCACTCTATGATTCTCTGATTCCAGGGTAGGCAGAGTTCTGTACCTGCAAAGCTTTTGGCCTCATCCGTGGGCACGGCCCGTAGATGTCGCAGATCACTCTTATTCCCCACCAACATAATGACGATGTTGGTGTCCGCATGATCTTGCAGTTCCTTCAGCCAGCGCTCTGCGTTCTCATAGGTTAGGTACTTGGCAATGTCATAGACAAGAAGGGCCCCAACCGCTCCTCGGTAGTAACTGTGGGGCGGGGAAAGAAAGAAAGATCACTTGTGGCTGGACTTAACGCTACAGCCAATTGTCCCGTTCCCTCCCCCCCAAAAAAACACCCAGTTAAACATTATAGTAAGCACATATTTTTAGCCCATTACAAATGCTTAACTGGCAGTTGATTTTATTACGGATGGCCATATGTTTCACATATTTATTTATTATATTTAAAACACTCATCAGCTGCCTTTCTTCCTTACGGTGCTCGAAGAGGCTTACAACGTAGATTTTAAAAAAGATACTTACAACAGGGCTCTTTTTGTAGAAAAAGCCCAGCAGGAACTCATTAGCATAATAGGCCACACCCAACAGCAGAAACTCATTAGCATATTAGGCCACACCCCTGACAGCACAGCTCATTAGCACATTAGGCTGCACCCCCATGTTGCCAGAAGTGTGGTCATCCAGCCACACCCACCTTTTGCTTCTTATTCTATTTACCTTGTTTGTTGTCAAAACCCAGAGCTTTTTTGTAGCAGGAACTCCTTTGCATGTTAGGCCACACACCCCTAATGTAGCCAATCCTAATGAGTTTCTGCTGTTGGGTGTGGCCTGTTATGCTAATGAGTTCCTGCTGGGCGTGGCCAACTCGGGAGCCAGCCGGAACTCCGTTCCTGTGCGTTCCTGCCCAAAAATAGCCCTGCTTACACATTAAAAACCAACATTTAAAATCACAATTCCAGACTGCTAGTAAACTTAGCTAGATGTGGTCCTAAATGAAACCATCTTCAACTGCCTCCTAAAGCTGGAAAGGGAGGGTGTTCCATAATCGTGCGCCTGCCACAGAAAACGCCCTCTCTTGGGTACCCACAAAAGGAACTTCTTTGATGGAACAATCAAAACAGCCTCTCTCCCTGTGATCTTAATCCCCAGGCAGGAACATATACCCCAGTCCCAAGCCACGTAGGGCGTACAACAACTACTAGTATGGAGGTGCATACAAATTTACCATTGTTTAGATTGTTTTGTCTTCTTTTAAAAAAAAAAAAAATTCTACCCTGTACAGCACAAAAAACAAACTTACCGCCCTGACCTGGATAGCCCAAGCCAGCCTGATCTCGTCAGATCTTGGAAGCTAAGTGGGGCCGACCCTGGTAAGTACTTGGCAGGGAGACCTCCAAGGAATACCAGGGCCGGGACACAGAGGCAGGCAATATCAAGCCACCTCTCTGAAAGCATCCATGCCCCACTAGGGGTTGCCAGAGGTCACCATGACTTCCAGGCCCTTAGGCACCCCCCCAAAAAAATAGAAGAAGAGATTGGATTTATACAGAACATAAGAACATAAGAGACGCCAATGTTGGATCAGGCCAAAGGCCCATCCCGTCCAACACTCTGTGTCACACAGTGGCCAGAAATACCAGTGCCATCAGGAGGTCCACCAGTGGGGCCAGGACATTAGAAGCCCTCCCACTGTTGACCCCCCCAAGCACCAAGAAGACAGAGCATCACTTGCCCCAAAGCCCCTATCTATACCTTGTGGTTAATAGCCACTGATGGACCTCTGCTCCATATGCTTATCTAATTCCCTTTTGAAGCCGTCCATGCTTGTAGCCGCCACCACTTCCTGTGGCAGTGAATTCCAAGTGTTAATCACTCTTTGGGTGAAGAAGTACTTCCTCTTATCCGTTCTAACCCGACCGCTCAGCAGTTTCACGGAGTGCCCACGAGTTCTTGTATTGTGAGAAAGGGAGAAAAGTACCTCTTTCTCTACCTGCTCTTTCCCATGCATAATCTTATAAACCTCAATCATGTCACCCCTCAGTCCTCGTTTCTCCAAGCTAAAGAGCCCTAAGCGCTTTAACCTTTCCTCATAGGGAAAGTGTTCCAACCCTTTTATCATTCGAGTTGCCCTTTTCTGCACTTTTTCCAAAGCTATGATATCCTTTTTAAGGTGTGGTGACCAGAACCCCGCCCGAAAGGTGTCTCAGAGCGGTTTACAAACTTCTTTCCCTTCCCCTCCCCACAACAGACACCCTGTGAGGTAGGTGGGGCTGAGAGAGCTCTTGACAGAAACTGCCCTTTTTCAAGAACAGCTCCTTATCAGAGCTACGGCTTGCCCAAGGCCATCCAGCCAGGTGCAAGTGGAGGAGTGGGGGAATCAAACCCGGTTCTCCCAGATTAGAGTCCGCGCACTTAACCACTACACCAAACTGGCTTTGGTAAATACTTACCAAAGAAAGAAAAAACATCAAAACCAAAATTTCCTTTCCCGATCAGGCCGTGGCTCCTTGTAGCACCTTACTGGGCACTGCTAGGAACAGGATATTAGACTCGATGGTTTGTTAGCCTGAGCCAGCATAGCTACCGTTTTCCTGCTGAGAATGGGGAGCACCCATAGGGTTGCTAACTCTGGGTCGGAAAATTCCTGGAGGTTTTGGGGGTGGAGAGGAAGATCCTTTCCAACACCTGTTTTCTTAGGCCTTCTCGGTTTAAACCTTTATCCTTTGGCACACAAAGCATGATTTCTCTACCATCAGTCTATCAGTGTCGTCATTGTCTACTCAGACTAGCAGTGGTTCTCCAGGGTTTTATGTAGAGGATTTTGCCCATGCCATGCTTTGTTTCTGAGCCGTTGGGCCTGGCTAGGGGAGTTCTCAAGGGTTTCCAGGTCCCCCTAAATTTCTGGAGAACCCCTTCCTAAATCCCACATGGCTCCGCCTCCATAAATAGTGACAATGGCCTGTGATGTCACTGGCTCCTCCCTGTGATGTCACTGGGCCTCAGTTCTTTTAAGGACCTGGCACAGCGATGCCTCTGGCCCGCCCCCCCCCAGGAAATGGGAAAGTCTACGCCCTTGGGTGGAGCCTGGGGAGGGTGGGGCTTGGGAGAAAGGAGGGACCTCAGAAGAGTACAGTGCCACAGAGTGCATCCTCCAAAGCAGCCACTTTATCCAGGGGAACCGATCTCGTCGTCTGAGATCTCCAGGGTCCACCTGGAGGCTGGCAACCCTAGACAGGGGGAGATTGCAAATGCAAATAATAGTAATAACTGAGGGCTTTCCCCAAATCAAACTGGAAACTAAGGTGTTTGTTTTCACACTCGCTCCCACAGTCTCCACCTAAGCCTTGCCACGAAGTCCAAAGCCACCTCTCATTTGGTGATTGCCAAGCCAGGACAGGGAAACCTCCTCAAAGGAGCCGGTGGTGGGAAGTGGCATCAAGCCGCAGCCGATTTAGGTGACCCTGTAGGGTTTTTGAAGCAAGAAATAGGCAGGGGTGGTTTGCCATTGCCTGCCTCAACAAAGCAACCCTGGACTTCCATAGTGGTCTCCCACCCACGTACGAACTGGGGCCGACCCTGCTTAGCTTCTGAGATCTGACGAAATCATGCCAGCCTGGCCATTCAGGTCAGGACATTTTGGCTTATTTTTGAGCTATGACACAGCAAGAACATTTCTGGCACACCACCAACATAGACAAATCACCCTGTGCCCGTCGGATGGGCACTGGTCAGTGAGACAAGAGTGGAACCCGTGAAGCACCTACCCTTTTAAACCAGTGGGCATGAACAGGTATCAAAAGGCCAAAGAGAACAAAGAGGGGTTCTGCAGGACTTACGCAGAAGTAATGGCACGGTAGCGTTCTTGTCCAGCTGTGTCCCAGATCTGGGCTTTCACGGTCTTGTTGTCCACCTGGATGCTGCGTGTGGCAAACTCAACCCCAATGGTGCTTTTACTCTCCAGGTTGAACTCGTTCCGGGTGAATCGCGAGAGCAGGTTGCTCTTCCCTACTCCAGAGTCACCAATGAGGACAACTGCAAAGCCACAAAGGGGGGGGGGAATCAAGAATAGTCAAGCTTCAGAATGGTATACGGGGGCATCACGTGATTGTTTTTGCTACCTAACTCTAATAGTTCACACTGCCCATTTTATTCCTAGCTTTGCCTTTTGGGGGACACCTTGTTAAAATTTTGCAAAACGCTTATTGCAAGCTGACGGGAAGAAATGTGGTGTTGGAGGGCCATCGGAGGTACCGTAGACCATCAAAAAGACAAATAAGTGGATTCTAGATCAAATCGAGCCTGAACTCTCCCTAGAAGCTAACTGTATTTTGGTCACATTGTGAGAAGGCAAGACTCACTGGAAAAGACAATAATGCTAGGAAAAGTGGAAGGCAGCAGGAAAAGAGGGAGACCCAACTTCCAAGGAGCTCCTGGTTCTCAGGGAACGTGTGTGCTCCCTTGAGGCCAAGGTGGCTGACCTGGAGAAGCAGAGACAGTCAGCTAGGCACACAGAAAAGACTCTCGGGGACTTATTAGCTACGTCCCACTCTGGATCTGGCAGCCCCGCTGCTGTCAGGGAGCATGAGGGTCTAGGGGAAACAGGGCACCGGGCTGAGGATAAGGGGAATGTGCCCTCAGAAGGGACCTCTTCCCCAGCTGGTGAGCGGCTCTCCTTTTGCACCAAGGAACCATCCCTGAGCAGGGTGGGAGGGGGGCTCTTGGTAGTGGGTGATTCGATCCTTAGGCAGGTAGACAGCTGGGTGGCGAACCCGCGTACTGACCGTATGGTGACTTGCCTGCCTGGTGCGAAGGTAGCGGACATTACGCGTGTTTTAGATAGGCTGGTAGATAGTGCTGGGGAGGAGCCAGTGGTCGTGGTGCATGTCGGCACCAACGATGTGGGGAAATGCAGTCGTGAGGTCCTGGAGGAGAAATTTAGGATGCTGGGCAGGAAACTTAGGTCCAGGACCTCCAAGGTAGCCTTCTCAGAAGTGTTACCTGTTCCACGCGCAGGGCCGGAGAGACAGGCAGAGATCAGGAGTCTCAATGCGTGGATGAGACGATGGTGTAGGGGGGAAGGGTTCAGGTTTGTTAGGCACTGGGATACTTTTTGGAACAAGAGGGAGCTGTACAGGCGAGACGGTCTCCACTTGTCCCGAGAAGGAACCAGGCTGCTGGCACTTAAAATCAAAAAGGTGGCAGAGCAGCTTTTAAACTGAATATTGGGGGAAAGCCGACAGGAGATGAAAAGTCTCTGGTTCGGGTTGGCTCATCTGAGAGAGGTGAGGGGGTACCGGTTGCTTTTCTACAGGGAGGTGGATTGAAATTGTCCACAGAGGCCATGGCTGGTGACATGGACTGCCGGACAACGACTCGAGATAGCAAGAGGAAGGATGCAGGCTTAACTTGTAAGGGAAATTACAGCTGTTTCTATACAAATGCTAGAAGTGTCCGAGGTAAAATCGGGGAGTTGGAGTGCTTGGTGTCGGAGGGAAAAATAGACATTGTGGGTATTTCTGAAACTTGGTGGGATGAGGAAAATCAGTGGGACACAGTGATTCCCGGTTATATATTATATCGGAAGGATAGGGGGGGAAGGGTTGGAGGTGGGGTAGCTCTGTATGTCAGAGAGGGTATAAAGTCTAGAAAGATTGAGAGGCTAAGTGAATTGGATTCGCTTCTGGAAGTTCTATGGGTTGAAATAGGGGGGCCAAAAGGAAACTTAACACTGGGAGTTTGTTATCGCCCACCAGATCAAAAGATAGAGGAGGATTATAAAATGATGAATGCCTTAAAGATAGCAACTAGACAAAAACACTGTGTAATAATAGGTGATTTTAACTACCCACACATTGATTGGGTCAATATGTGTTCTAGCCGGGAAAAAGAGATTGAGTTTCTAGACACTCTAAATGACTGTGCTATGGAGCAGATGGTCACGGAACCTACCAGGGGAGAGGCGATCCTTGATTTGGTCCTAAGTAACACTCAAGACCTGGTGAGAGATGTAAAAGTGATTGCACCGCTTGGAAACAGTGATCATAATGTTGTTGAGTTCATCATTTGTACAAATAGAGAATTGGCCAAAAAGACTCACACAACCATTTTTAACTTTAAAAGGGGTAATTTCTCTGATATGAGGGGACACGTGGGGAGGAAACTGAAAGGAAAAGTAGAAAGGGTCAAAACAATTGGGGAAGCTTGGGATCTATTTAAAACTACGATCCTAGAAGCTCAAAAAATATATATTCCGCAGGTTAGGAAAGGCACAAACAGGTATAGGAAAAAGCCTGCATGGTTAACAAACAGAGTAATGGAGGCTGTAAAAAGTAAAAAGAATTCCTTTAAGCAGTGGAAAGCTAGTCACAGTGAGGCTGATAAAACGGAACACAGGCTATGGCAAATAAAATGCAAGTCTGAGGTCAGGCAGGCAAAAAGGGAATATGAGGAGCATATAGCAAAAAACGTAAAAACCAACAATAAAACTTTCTTCAAATACATTAGAAACAGGAAACCAGCCAGGGAGGCAGTGGGGCCCTTGGACGACCAAGGGGTAAAAGGAGTATTGAAGGATGATAGGGAAATGGCTGAGAAGCTAAATGCATTTTTTGCCTCCGTCTTCACTGTGGAAGATGAGAAGTGCTTGCCCACTCCAGAACCACTGATTTCAGGAGGGGTGTTGAAAGACCTGAGTCAGATTGAGGTGACGAGAGAGGAGGTCCTAAAACTGATAGACAACTTAAAAACTGAAAAATCACCAGGCCCAGATGGCATACATCCGAGAGTTCTGAAAGAACTCAAATGTGAACTTGTAGATCTCCTGACAAAGATATGTAATCTTTCCTTAAAATCTGCCTCCATTCCTGAGGATTGGAAGGTAGCTAATGTCACTCCCATCTTTAAAAAGGGTTCCAGAGGAGATCCGGGAAATTACAGGCCAGTCAGTCTGACGTCGATACCGGGTAAATTGGTGGAAACCATTATTAAGGAAAGAATTAGTAGGCACATAGATGAACAAAACCTATTGAGGCAGACTCAGCACGGTTTCTGTAAGGGAAGATCTTGTCTCACTAACCTGTTAGTGTTCTTTGAGGGGGTGAACAAACATGTGGACAAGGGGGATCCAATAGATATTATTTACCTTGACTTCCAGAAAGCTTTTGATAAAGTTCCTCATCAAAGGCTCCTAAGTAAGCTCAAAAATCATGGGATAGAAGGACAAGTCCTTTTATGGATCAAAAACTGGCTAGTTCATAGAAAACAGAGAGTGAGTGTAGGTGGGCAATTTTCTCAGTGGAGGGTGGTAAGCAGTGGGGTACCGCAGGGATCAGTACTTGGTCCACTGCTTTTTAACTTGTTCATTAATGATTTGGAGATGGGAGTAAGCAGTGAAGTGGCTAAATTTGCGGATGATACAAAGTTGTTCAGGGTGGTGAAAACCAGTGAGGATTGTGAGGCACTCCAAGGGGATCTGTCAAGGATGGGCGAGTGGGCGTCAACATGGCAAATGGGGTTCAATGTGGCCAAGTGCAAGGTGATGCACATTGGAGCCAAAAATCCTAAATATAAATACACATTGATGGGGTCTGAACTGGCAGAGACTGAGCAAGAGAGAGATCTTGGAGTTGTAGTGGATAACTCACTGAAAATGTCGAGACAGTGTGTGACTGCAATAAAGAAGGCCAATGCTATGCTGGGGATTATTAGGAAGGGTATTGAAAACAGATCAGCCAATATAATAATGCCCCTATATAAATCAATGGTGAGACCTCATTTGGAATACTGTGTGCAGTTCTGGGGACCACACCTTAAAAAGGATATTATAGCTTTGGAAAAAGTGCAGAAAAGGGCAACTCGAATGATAAAAGGGTTGGAACACTTTCCCTATGAGGAAAGGTTAAAGCGCTTAGGGCTCTTTAGCTTGGAGAAAAGACGACTGAGGGGTGACATGATCGAGGTTTATAAGATTATGCATGGGAAAGAGCAGGTAAAGAAAGAGGTACTTTTCTCCCTTTCTCACAATACAAGAACTCGTGGGCACTCCATGAAACTGCAGAGCGGTCGGGTTAGAACGGATAAAAGGAAGTACTTCTTCACCCAAAGAGTGATTAACACATGGAATTCACTGCCACGGGAGGTGGTGGGTGCTACAAGCATGGACGGCTTCAAAAGGGAATTGGATAAGCATATGGAGCAGAGGTCCATCGGTGGCTATTAGCCACAAGGTATAGCTAGGGGCTCTGGGGCAAGTGATGCTCTGTCTTCTTGGTGCTTGGGGGGGGGTCAACAGTGGGAGGGCTTCTAATGTCCTGGCCCCACTGCTGGACCTCCTGATGGCACTGGTATTTCTGGCCACTGTGTGACACAGAGTGTTGGACTGGATGGGCCTTTGGCCTGATCCAACATTGGCGTCTCTTATGTTCTTATGTTCTTAACTTGAGATGGGTCGACTCAGTCAAGGAAGCCCCGACCCTCAGTCTGCAAGACCTGAGCACGGCTGTTGACGATAGGACATTTAGGAGGTCATTAATTCGTAGTATCACCATAAGCAGGAAGCGACTTGATGGTACATCGTAAACACAGTTGCATGCATAACCATCCTTTAGGGGTCAGTTCCCTCCCCAGGGTATGTAAGAAGTTAAATCTCAGCAAGGGGAACAGACTAGGGCTGCCAACCTCCAGGTGGCAATTGGAGATCTCCTGCTATTACAATTGATCTCCAGATGACCAAGTTCAGCTCCCCTGGAGAGAACAGCGGCTTTGGAGGGTGGACTCTATGGCATTTGACCCTGCTGAGGCCCCTCCCCTCCCCAAACCATGCCTTCTCTGGGCTCCACCCAGCTGGCAACCCTAGAACGGATACATTTTGTCTCTAGTGTGCAAACCTGTAAATTCCTGCCCATGAACACTAAGGCATCATGCATCGGTCACATCACAGTTGACCATATCTGTTTTGTAAGGCAACTATATTTTTCTGGCCATAGGGCCTCCCAACCTTCTTGAATTCATGGGCACTTCTGGAATTTTGAGAA